GCCGGGCCCTAGTGTGTGTACCCATGTGTGTGTACACTGCCGGGCCTTAGTGTGTGTCCCTGTGTGTGTACACTGCCGGGCCCTAGTGTGTGTACTCGTGTGTGTGTACACTGCCGGGCCTTAGTGTGTGTACACTACCGGGCACTAGTGTGTGTACCCGTGTGTGTACACGGCTGGGCCCGAGCATGCATACCCGTGTGCAAACACTGCTGGGTCCTAGTGCCCGTGTGTGCCGAATGTACTTACATAGTGCCTCTCCCAAGTGTGTGCCCATGTGTGTACACTGCTGGGCCTTAGTGTGTGTACCCATGTGTGTACACATGGTTTCCAATACTGACTCTGGGCTCTCGAAGGTGTCGGGAAGCTAAGCTGAGCATCGGGCCTTGTCCAGGTCTCCCCACTGTATAACTGGTTCTGACTTGTGACCATTCCCTTTGGGCTCTGTCCGCTGCACCTGAACCTGGATTTAGGAGGATCTGTCGAATGAAGTAAGGAGACTTAGATGATGAGGATGTCACCTGGATACCTTCAGCACCTGACCGTTCTGGTGGGGACGTGAACTAGCTCTGCCTATAGGGGGTGGGAGGGCATCATCAGTCAGCTCCTCTGCTGAGAGCTGACGGAGCTGCAGTCCCCGGGAGAGGGGGCCAGCACTAGTTGTGGGGGTTCAGGAGTGGGTAACACGGTGAATTTCGCGGGCACTAAGTGCCTCAGGGAGTCCTGGGGTGGGATCATAGGGTCAGCACTGGACCGCAAGTTCAGTTTGAACCCACCAGCCGCTCCTTAGCAACCCTGTACAGGGTCACTTAGCAGTGAGCAGTACCACAGGGTTGGGCACGTTGGTTTGTGGGTAACCTTACTCCTGTGATTCTAGATGGGTCACAGCTTCCCATGCCTGGAGCACTGTCTAACCACATGAGACCTGAAAACGGGGACATGGACAGTGGCTCCCAGGCCCATCAGACCAGTAGCGCCCAAGACAGCTGCAAAGTGCCACCCTTGTTAGTTTCCGTGTCCCCGCCTCAGAGGAAACTGGGGCAGACGTTCGTTCCCTCTGTAGTCTGTTCAGAATTCGTCCTTCTCTGTGATTTCTTTAAGTTTCCTCATTTGTATGAGTTCTCTAGTCTGTCTCTGCCTAGCAGCCTGTCATCCTGACCCTGTGTGAAGTGGCCTTACCTCCCTGGAAGGCACTATGCCATGTCTACACATGTACCTCTCACCAATAGAGCGGCTAGGTGACGAAATGGGTGATTAACTGTGAGTCCACCCAGACAGTAGGTGTACAGACTGGAAACAGGACAGATGCTGTGGCCCCTGGATGAGTATGAAGTCCACGGGGCCACATGGAACACGTTAGGCGGGGAGGAGGCAGGTAAGATGCAGCTGCGGCCGTGGGCATTACCAGGGAGACCTGGCCGTCTGCTGACCGTGATGACCTTGTCCCTTACTAGAGGCCTGACTGGTTGGGGCGAGCCTGTCGGTCCTTCTGCTCTTCACGTTTGTACTGTGGGTAATTTAACGTTTTCTTTCAAAGCATCTCTTGTCTTGAGGGTTCCAGCAGCTGAATGAGCCAGGCCTTTCCCATGTAGGGTAAAAAGCCTGGGAAAATTCATCAGCCAGACGCTTTAAAAGAAGCTGGATTTGGGCCCGGTGGGGTGAGATTTCTGTGGGCACAGCTCCATGCAGTGATGCGCACGGACCTGGGAACATGTGGAGAACCACTCAGCGTCCAGCAGCGTGAGACTGCCCGGCCACTGCTTGGGCCAGGGTGGCAGGGCTGGGAGTGGATGTCGTTCTAGGCGGGTTCATCTGGGAACCCCCCTCCACACACGCAGTGCGATCGCATGCTCCGTGTCTACCCGTTTGCTGTTACTGGTTCTGATAGACTTTTGAGGTGTTTCCTTGGGTAGCTGGGGTGTGGGGTGAGCCCAGCCATATCTGACACTCGATCCACGCTTTCTGCTGCCAGGATACCGGCTTTCGGACCAGTTTCACGATATTCTCATTCGGAAGTTTGACAGACAGGGGCGGGGGCAGATTGCTTTTGATGACTTCATCCAGGGCTGCATCGTCTTGCAGGTAATGAAGGGCCTGCCTTGGGTAACGTGGGGGCCAGGAGGGCATCCCCAGGTCTCCCTGTGGGGCTCCATGGAGAAGGGAGTGTTTGGGGCAGAGGTGGGGTCCTCGATGGTGGGGGTGCGTGGGGGGTGCGTGCAGGCTGCATGCTGGTCACTAGGTTCCTTGACTTAGGGTTGGCATGTTTCTCTCCTGGAATCAGCCCGTGTGGTGTGTGTGTGTGAAGGGTCCCCCACGGGGATTTCCTGGCTGGAGTTGTGAATGGGATGATGGGAGGTGGTGCGGGGAGACGAGCCAGCCTGAGGGTGTGGGCTTAGGGTGGGGAGAGGAGAGGTCTCTCTGGTTGACTCCTCAGGCACCGCAGCATTAACTACAGGGAGAGGGACCGGAGGCCTCGTCCAGGGGTGTCTGCCTGACCTCAGCCCAGACCCTCCCCAAGGCTCTGCCTCTACAAGTGTTTCCCATTCGTAACCAGGCCAGACGTCAGCTGGGGACTGTCTCCAGTATTTCTCGCTACCAGGAAAGTTGTGCGTCTAACTGCTGTTTGTCCCCCAGAGACTGACAGACATATTCCGGCGTTACGACACAGACCAGGATGGCTGGATCCAGGTGTCCTACGAGCAGTACCTGTCCATGGTCTTCAGCATCGTATGACCTCGGCCTCCTCGCGGAGCAGGCGATGCCTGACGATGACAGACATGCCAAATCTCTCACGTCACTAAAGAAGGAGCTCGATGCAGTTAGATGCTGCTCTGGCTTAAATCCAGAAATTCTGTGGTGGGGACCTAACTGTATATATGTGGATAAGCCGATGATGGTTTTGTGATTGTAGCAGTAGCTGTATCCTGATCAAATACAAGCGTCTGCTTCCCTGGCATGTAACTCTTCAGGGGCTGTGGGTGGATGGAGGGGTGCCGCCAGCTCGCCCCAGTGTCTCCATTCAGTAGTGGAAGCTTCTCTGGTTTAGCCATAGGCATTTTAGATGATACGGAGCTTGCACATAAGGCTTTTTGTGTGCCTTACTTTTTTAAAAGGAGTTGATTGTATTCATTTGAATATGAAATGTAAACATTAAATGAATGGTTGGCGAAGTGAGTGGAATCCCGGTCGGCCTCCTCCCTCTACTAGAACCATCTCTGAAACTCACAGGCCAGGCCGAGCCCCAGGACCTCCCTAATGGCTCCCTCTCAACATGCCCCCTTCTCCCTGGACCCCCACACCTCCCCGATGTCCTCACCACTGTCCCCCCACCTCCAGTCAGCTTGAGTCTGCCCACATAGCCTGTGTACCCAGAGTTAAACCATGTCTGGACCGGCGATTCCAAACGTATTTAGAAAGCCCGCTGTGTGTTTCCGGAGCGAGACGATGGGTTCCCTTCTAGACGCCACCCAGGCCCTGTTCATGTTTGAGCAGACTCCTGTGCGCAGCCCTTCGCCCACCTAGAGGTGAGGCCTGGGGTAGGTCCTCCTCGGCCCCCGTCTGTGGGAGGAGCGTGAAAGGAGCTGGCTGGTGGGACCATCCCCTCCACCCACTAGACTGCACCTGTGAGGTCCTGGTGTGGCGCTCTAGGGTAAGCACTGCTAACTACATGGTCAGTGGTTCAAACCCAACAGTTGGAACTGGCACAACGGTACCTAACAATTCTGGGGCCTGGACTGATGACGTCTTCCTTAACTTGGTCTACTTTTGGTGTCTTATTCTCCCTGGGAGGTCTCTGCCTCCAGCCTCATTGAAAGGAAAGGCTGTACTGAGGCTGCTCTGATGAATCGTCAGTCCCACACACCGGCTTCTGGGTCACGGAGTTGGCACTGACTCAGTGGGGCTGGCTTTGGCCATGCTTGGTGCTGTGAGTTTCACGTGATGAGGGACACTTTTTCTCAGCTTTGACTTAATCCTTGGCCGAGCCATCAGCTCTACATCAGTTTCCTCTTGTGGTTTGTTAACTAGGGAACTACCTAAAGGATGTCCTCCAGCAAAGTCCCGTGAGTTGCCCACAGAGGAAGGCCTGGGATTCAGGAATCCTGGGTAGCAGCAGCCCGGGGGATGAGCCTGGGATGCCATTCAACCCTTTTCTGCTCCCCCTGCCGGCCGGCCCAGCACCAGGAGACACGCACAGGGTTCAGCTGGGGCCTGTGCTGGAAGGGTGGACACAGGCCGGGGGCAGCCTTGCAGCCTGTTCCTGCCATGGGAAGTAACCAGATAGCAAGAAGGCATCCCGTTTGGACTGGGTCCCTAGTTGGGCAGGCCCTGATGGCCACACCGTGCCACTAAGGTGCCATCTTCTCCACAGACAAATGTCAGTTCAACTTGAAAGCCTAACCATCCCACACTTCAGGGCTTGGGTGCCCAGGTCTCCCCAAACAGCCAGCCTCCCACTGCAGATCCGCCTCCCCCCAGACACATTAGGAAGGGACACTACATGCTTCTTGGAGTCCTGGTCAGACGCTGGAGGATAAGCACTGGACTGCAAGGTCACTTTGAACCTCACCAGCCGCTGCTTGGAAATCCTACACAGGGTCACTATGAGTCAGACCCAACTCAGTGGCACTTAGTAACACACTTCTTGTAGAAAGGTTCAGGAGTTCCTGGAACGTTAAGAAATGAAAGTCCCCCAGTTATTAAGTGTCGTCAAGTCAGTGCTGATTATCTGACCCCACGGCCGATGAAGCCTGCCCTATCCTGAGCTGCCCCCTTACTAGTGTATTACAGTCTGCTGTTGCAGACACTCAATTCAGCCCATGGTGTGGGGGGGGTCTTCCTCTTTCTGTGACCCCCCTGCTTTACCAAGCATGATGTCCTTCTCAAGGGCCTAGTCCTTCCAAAGTAGGAAGGATATCCAGTCCTTTTCTGTGCATAATGTACTTGAAAATCAGATTAAGAGCCAACTGTTGGTCTCAACTATTTAAAAATACAACATAGTATGTCTTTACACATCAGAAAATTGTGGAAGCGTATGCTCACCCAGCACACCCGCCCTACTGGGTGCAGATACACCTGCGGGGGACAGAAGCAGGAAGCTCATCTCAAGGCCGGATGGACACTGAAGGGAGAACAGCCGTGCAGGAGAGAGAGCGAAGGCCTCCACTTGAAATGGCGTCTTTGGTTGACCAGGAGCCGGGACTGGCTGTGGAATATTTGGGGACGAGCTTTTCAGGTGGTGCCAGCACATACAAAGGCCCTGGAGGCTGCCTTGCAGTTTCCGTTCAGAGGACACCCAGGAGACCAGTGAGGAGAACGGATTTTCCCAGAGCTTGATTCCAGGCGGCATGGGTCCCACAACCAACTACAGGGGGCGGCAGTGCGGCGGCGGAGACAGCCTGGTTGAGGACCGCGGCGGGCGGGCGGAGCGCTGAGCCAGCGAGGATTGACGTAACGGGGCATCCGAAGAGCCCTCCGCGGGCCCCAGTGTGTGCCCCCGTCCCCTGGCGTTGGGCGGAGCCATGACAAGGAGCCAGGACGGCTCGAGGGTGCCCCCTGGTGTGGAGCCTGTAGTCGGAGCTACTTGGGGTGCCGACACCACGGTGACGGGGGCCCTGTGGTGTGGGGCCCCACGTGGGGTCCCTAACGAGGGGTGCACATCTGCACTGTCCCTCGCTAAACTCAGGAGGGGAGAGTTGGGGTCGATGGAAATCACAGGAATATGTTCTAGTTGATAAAACTTTTGTCCTTTTTGAATCGCGCAGTGTCCCCTTGGTCCCTTGGAGCGGGAGGAGAGTGGGAGGCGTAGTCCCCACGTTAGCGCGGCCGGCGGTCCGCGAGCTGGGTGCAGGGGGAACAGCGACCGGCTTCTGTGGGGCCTCTCGGGACCTGCGAGCGCGGAACTCCGGCGGGGAGGAGGGTTTGCTCAGCCGCGGCGTAGGGCGCTGCCCCATCCCGGCACGTGCGGACCCCGCTGTCGGGGGGAACCCTGGGGATCTGTGCGCACAAGGTGGGGAGAGGCGGGTGCAGCCCAGCCTCAGAGCAACAGATGCCCCCTGGGAAACCTAACCGCCCCCACTCTAACAAGAACATTCCGGTGGGGCACAGGGCGGGACCCCCACTCTGCGCACAGAGGCCGGGTGGAGATCCCCGGAGGCGCGGCAACGCTGGCAGGCCGGGCGGACTGCGCGCGGGCGCCCCCTGCCGCCTCCCGGGGCCGGTCCGTTGTGGGGTGGGGCCGCGCGGGGGCGGGCTCGCGTGCGAGGGGACAGTCCTCCCGCGCCTGCCGCCGCCACCTGGTCCCGGGATGCGAACGCACGCAGCCGTGTTGCCCCAGCCCGACACCCGGGCCGGCTTCCCTCGCGGGCGTGTTTGAGCCTCCAAGGGCTCTTCCTCCCCGCTGATCCCGGTAAGTGCCACGGGGGTGGTGTTCAGTGGGCTCCCTCTGCCTCCTCGGGCTGGCTACCCTCGGGGTGCTGCCCCCGGGGACCGAGGCCCCCGAGAGATTCGGAAGTGCCCAAGAGTGTCGAGCTGGGACTCTCCTACCATTGTACCGCCCTCCACCTTCCCACCCTGGGGCGTTAGGACCATTGGACGGCAGGAACGTTGGGGTTTACAGGGGCCATTTCTCATTCGAAAATTAAAGGGGGATTTTGAGGGAAGTGTGTTCCAGCGCATCTTCAAGTCCCTGTGGGACTGCATCATGAATTGAAAGCCCCTCTGCTGTGACCTCTGACCTCACTCGCTGCCCTAGAGGAATCTGGGGCGTATTTGGCCATGACCTAACTTCTTTTGGTAGGTATTTGTGGTAGATGCTGGCTAGGGGCTTTAACAGGTCCCACCCTTTCCTGGGTGGCTGAACTTCACGTGCTGAGACCTAGGGAGGCTCAAGCAGGGTTGGGGTCCCCAGGGCCACCTTACCCAAGGGTGGGGAAGAGAGCCGGGTCCTTACTCTAGGGAAATCCCCTGTTAGTGACACACAAAGTACTTTTCTTCATGTTTTATTTTGAGTGACTGAAAATCCCAGATTTGTATACTTTTTGGGAGCTGTGGAACCCTGGGCCTCTCGCTGTTGAGAGAGTGGCCGGACTTTCTGTAATGCCTGCCTTGGTTGAGTTGGGGTGTGTTGGGGGTGCCCCAATGCAGCACGCACTGAGCAGCCCCCTCCCCCAGCACTCTTCCTCATCTGAGCCCTTGGCTTTGCATGGCCTCCTCCTCCCTGACTGTCCCTTGCTCCCAGGGGCATCTGTCCTGGGGAGAGTTCAGCGTCCTGGCCACTCCAAGTATGGTCACACAAAGGGGACCTGAAGGGCGTTGGCTCCTCAGAATGGCCATCAGTGACCAGCTAAAGGCTGTGGTCGTCTTTGTGTTGGAAGGCTGGCCGGCCCACCCCCTGGTCGCCTGCCCTCCTCTGTACCGGACATTACCCCAGCTTCATGCTCACTTTGTGGTCCCCTTGTGAGCGGTCCCTCATAGCGTCAGACACTCCAGCAAGCAGCGTTTGGGGAATAAAGTGTGTCCCCTTCATGCTTCTGAAGCTGGTGCTGGCTACAGTGAGCCCTGTTTTGGGGTGACGGGGTTGAGGGGGTAATCTGAGCAAGGGCACAGAGCCTGTGGCTGGCAGAGTTTGGACACCTGGACAAAGGTCCCGGAAAGACCGGGCTGTCCCCAGGTCTGTGCCCCACTGGATGTTCTGTGTGGGGAATAGTTTTATCCTAAGTTTCTGTCCTTGTCTACGTTTCCTAAAACCATCTGATA